AAAAGCCATAAATCATAGAGCTTCAGTTTAATGTAGTGGTAGCCAGTGCTAACTAGAGAACACAAGCAAGAGGCCAACTGCTGCTTAAACAAAGGAGCTAATTCTGAAGATGAATAAAATGCAATTCCTCCCACTCAATCTTCTCTAGTTCATGATTGGATTCAAGACAGGAATGACACCAATCATATCCACATACGAAAAACAGTAAGCATCCAGGTTTCATGGGGTTTATCAGATCAACAAAGCTATATTGCATGCTCAACCATGTAACCAAATTGGTTGTCACATGGAATACACGAACGACAGAATAGTAGAAGTCACAATCAACTCACTTGACTCATTTGCTCCTTTCTACCAGATTTAGTCAGCAGTGACTGAAAATTTTCAGCTAACAAGAGGCAAAAGACCTCTGGGGCAATCAAAAATGAAAAATTAGAGGCAGCTTAACAGCTTAACCCAATAAAGCAATTACCTATAGCATAATACCATGTTTATTCAAGCAAATTGGTTAACTTAACCAACCCAATACCAGGTCCCAAACAACATTTTAACCACAAAAATTAGCCTCAGTGTTATTCACACAATGAAATACAAATAATGCAGATTAACAAGAAAGCTAGTAACCACAAAGGGCACAAAACCAGCAACAATTGAACTCGAAATTACTCCTTTTTAGCTACATTTTATCAAACCCCACAAGATATCTTTCTTCGAAATATCCAATTTACTTCTCTACTACTTAATCCCAGCTATAAACTTAAGTTCCATTTCATAAAACAAGACCCACAACTAGAATCCAACAGCAATCCCAATTAAAAAAGCATTCCACAAACGTCAATCTGAGCACACTCTTGACTCAAACAAGAATCCAACAAACTCACAGGAGACTTAACAACAATAGCTTCAGGCTGCAAACTAGCGGACCCAATCCGGGAATCAACACCAGGGGTAGAAAATCGGTGGTAATCCTCAGGTGTAACGAACGGCGGCCTCATCGAAGCAAAAGGCAAGTATCGTTTGATCGGCTGAGAGATCTGACTCCTCCCTCCGCCGTTTACAGCCACGGATGACGACTGAGCAGTCGGTGGCGCCGCCGCACCAGTAGATGCACCAGAACCTGTCATTTTCTCACAGTAATTTCGTTATCAAAGATGTTGAATGGATACCCTTTAAGCTCAAGATTTTCCGATTGTTGAACAGAAGGGTTCAGACGGAAGAGATTTATTGGCGGTCAGGAACGAAAAAGGGGATAGCAGAATTGGGGTGGTATAGGGGGTGGGTGGGGTGGGTGGTGAAATGGGGGAAAGGGTTTCTCTGTGAAGGTAAAAGGAGAAAACGAGGGAAGGGAGAGGAATTTTGGTTTGGATAGATGTGGAGAAGGAAGAGAAGGAAAAAACATTTGACATGCAATGTTTATGTTTTTTTGTTCATTGGCCACTTTGAATACTGTTTTTCAATTTGACCCTTTTATTGGTAATGTTAATATTTAGAAATTGAAAACAAATTTTATTCATTCAGCATAAAGTTTATATTTTCCTTATTGTAATATAATATAAGTATATTTGTGTAATTCCTACATAGTTTATGTTTTAATTTGAGTTTAAATTCATTTCCAACTTAGTAAAGATGTTTCTTCTTTGCTGATTTGTTTTTTAGAACTTAATATTCCTTGTAATTGGAGGTGAATTGATTCGACGAGTTAAATTGAGATTTATTTTCTTTCAACTTGAATTATATATCTAAGGAAGAAAACATATATATACATACCTTTACTTACATATGGACAAAATATTTTAAATCATTAATTTAAAATCTTAGATGTGTCTCGGCTAGTGATGTGCATATCAAATTATCATATTGAAATTGATTTTTTTGACTTTTTCTTTAGCAAAATATATAGTATACATTTAAAAAAATCAGTAATCAATGCAAAAATTATTAGGTATTGATGAAAAAACATTCAAACGAAATATTTAACTCTCTTTATATATATATATATACGAACAATAATTTAATTAATCTAAATATACACTAATAAAATGCCTTATATCCTTTGGACTAAAATCTTCTTCTTTGTGTAAATATAAACTAAATACTTAATTTTATATAATCATATGCAATACAAACATGTGTGTTATTTCCAATTAACACTAGTCAATTTCTATTTATTTCAAGTATGAAAAAAGTTTCCTCCATTATTGAAGTTATAGTTCTCCATTATAAGTATTCAGTGCAAAGTCAAACAAATTATGATCGGTCAATTTAATCTTACAAAATCAAATCAAATTCAAAAAATAGTAAATCATATTAAAGTAATTTAATATAATAACAATAAAATATATTTTTAAAAGTAAATTAAAATTATCGAATCAATTTTCAAAGAATCTTACTGTGTCATTTGATACACGGGAAACTAAGTGATAGGTTGACGAAATCTTGTACTAAATAATTAAATTTATTTGTTTCCTCTACATTAGAATAATACCACAATTTGTCTTTATTTCAAAATTAATAAATATAAAATTTATACAAAATATAAATATTTAAGTATTATATTTTTAAAAAATTATATGATGGTCGATGGTAATAATGATTAAAGATGGTGAATTGTAGGTGCCGGCGAGGCAATAATTTCTTGATGGAATTAATTAATGGTGGTGGCCGTAGATAGCGGCGAAGCGATTATATATATATATATATATACATATAATTATATATTGACTATATATTATTTAATAAATTTATAGAAATGTTGCAACTTTGAACGGCCAAATGAATGACTATCAATTGTAAATATTTTTAACTGAACGGCCAAATGAATATCAAAATTTAACTCTTCAATTATCTCACCTTCTATATGGGGTAAATAATCTTACTATATTAATATAAAAGTTATATTAAAATTAGTTAATATCTCAAATCAAATATGAGATAAAACTAATTTTAAATCTTATCTGAAATTATTATTCTTATCTCATATATCAAACAAACCTTATTGTGTTACTAACCATAAGGAGTTAAATAGAGAAATTACAATTGGTATTCTCATTTCCTTTTGTTTTGTTATGTTTTATGTGCGTCAAAATTCTACTGAAAATAATTTCGTTAACTTCATAAAATTTGTAAAATTGCGTACACATCATCCTTTTCAAATCTCACTTGTGAAATTTATTTTGCTATGTTTTATTTGAGCCAAGATTCTATTGAAAACAACACACCACCCTTCTTAAACTGCACTTGTGAAATTTCACTGAGTATGTTGTTGTTGTGGTCGACATCAGTCATTCAATTCAACAACAAATAATTCAGTCTTTCAATTTAATTAAATTATCTTTTGAAGAGTCCATGCAATATAGAGAGAATCTTAGTAACTCGGTTGGTTGACTACGTGAATGTTCACCTTGATGATAAGAGTTCGATCTCGTAATCACCTGCTCCATTTTACCTTTCCCCTATAGCAAGAGAGTATACACAGCCAGAAACCACAACATATACAGTAACTTACAAGTGAACCTAGAGCTGTGTTTTATACCTGTGAGATGCAGAAGAGATTACCAGAAAAGTGGATCACTACAACCTGCTAAATTTTATTTCATACAACTAAGGTAGAAAAAGATCAACCCGATGTACAAAGCATCCCGCATTCACACAAGGTCCGGGTAAGGGCTGATATGATCTAGAATCAAGTTAAAATTTGACACATAGCAAATAAGTCAGGAAATGCAGTAAACAATTCTATTTTGATTCTACACACTATCAGATCACAACCAGGGAGGAAGAGAGGCACCTTAAACATCAGGCATTGATACTCTTTGGATTATATCACAGCTTACATTGACTATATCAAACAAGGATGCTATAATAAGCAATTCATGCAACAAGTTCCTATATTTACTTGATTTTGTAGCTGAGTGATTATTGATTAGTTCTTAATCTTCAGTATTCATAACTGGTTCTTCTTCCCAAACCTACTCCCGGTGAGTTCCAAGTTCTCTATGACCAAGCTTGATATGAAGTGTACACTAGTACAGTAATACTTAAATCACAATATTATTTGGTTGAGAAGGTGGGGAATGAATTAGATCTATCAACTTGTAAGCAATTAAACATAACCAAATAGTTTTGTCAAGAAAGTATGAGAAGGTGAAGTGCTGCAGATTAAAGATATTTTATTCATGACCGAGAATTTGCCTGGGGCCAACCCTTAGGACCAATCAAAGCCTTCGAAACTCGAGGTAATAGGCCCACCTCTACCTTCTCCACTTAAACACAAGACTTAGTTCACATGGCACAAGGCTCGAACCTGTGACCTAAGTCACAAGTCCCTCAACCTTTGTCACTTGAACTAAGCGCCGGGGGTGCAGACTAAGGATATTCATATACTCGCAAAATGATTCTGCTACTTCCACAGATGCAAAAGGCCAAGCATAGAGGATTTCAATGCAAATTCTTCCTAATAGCTAATGGATTTAATCAGAGAAATGCTGGAAATGGCAAATGATGGATTGCTCCCCTCCGTTACATGGAAAAGTAAATAATACATCAACTTCATCCTAGTAAGTAAAGGGCTGAGTTGTAGGGGAGAAATAAAACAAGTGCTTTAATTCATACAAACCTAAAAACAACACATTATCCTAGTGTCTTAACATCCTTACTCGCATTGTAGTTGACGCATAGGCATAATAATCAAATAATATCAGCAACTACTCCAAAATTTATCAAGGAATGTCATGCATCTCAATTCCACGCTTATTGTGTTACTAGTTTCTACATGTACAACGACATCAAATTTCCAGATGGATACTCGCAATTCGCAAACATAGAGTACAGTAGACATGCTACTGCATATGAGCAAAGAGAAACACCACAAAAACAAATTTCATGAAACTGGACCTGTAGAAAAATGAAAAAAAAGGTGTTTTCTTAATAAACATCTTTTACCTAACAAATTTACTCTTAAAACTCTCCCTCTTTTTACTTACCACATAGTACAATAACTTGGTTCTGTGGTATAGTGGTTAGCACTCTAGACTTTGGATCCAGCGACTTGTGTTCAACTCCTAGTAGGACCTTATCAATCAATACTTTACTTACCATATATTCAATCAAGCCACATTAGTTACAGCAACTTGAATGCATACAAACTAGCAGATAACAACTCTGTTTCGATCCCAAGCAAGTTGGGATCAGCTATGAGGCTCCATTTAAGCATGAATGTATACAAAATTAACAAGATTTTATACCACCAGGAAACAGGTAACCAATAAAATGATCATCAGCATATATATTTATAAACAAAATGGGGCAATATGGTTTAAGTTCAATCTATGTTACATCATGATCATATTTTGTACGCCAAAAGGGAGATTGTCTCACCGGCATAGAAGAGCTACAGCACACTTCCAGCCTATCACGAAATCGCGATTCGTGGGACTTCAACATCACAGGCAATGACAAGCACACACCTTTCTCAACACACAACCTGTGCCTTGGCTTTATCCTATTCTCTAAGCTAAACGAGAAATACTGAGGAAACACAGTCAATTCCTTCAACTCCCTCCCCATTTCCACCACGAAGTAATCGAATTTCGGCTCCAAATTCTCCTTTATACTGTAACAGAACAAGGAAGGGAACCTCCGAAACATCACTTTTGCATCTCTCCTCGAAAACCCAATTCTCTGGAAGTAATCCAAGCGGGGTATAAACTTAGTTTCCACAGAGCAAGAGAGTAAAGTCGCACACTTTGAGACATCCTCAATGCCAATAGTACTCTGCAAGAAGTAAAGGGTCGGTCGGAGATTCTGTTCTACACGCTTGGTGAGCAGCCGCGGTCGGCGACGGAGGACACCCGGAAGATTTTCTCCTGTGACATGAGCTTCCCGGAGCAAAAAAGTGACGGCGGGTCGGAGGATGGTGGAAAGTGGGGCGGTTAAAATCTCCGGGCACATGTGTAGCACTCTCCGAACATCAAGAATGCTGAGATTAACTGAGTAAAGGAAGTCAATAACTGATTTGAGGTCAGATAAAGAGGAAGAGACGATAAGGGGTTGTGAAGTAAGGCAATGTAAAGAGTCTATGCCAAGAGAATCCAAGAAAAGGAGTTTTTCTTGGAGCTGGAAGTTTTGGGAGGTGGGTGGGGTTGGGNGTGAGGGGGCTGGGTGGTTTTGGGTGTTGAGGGAAAGAAATGGTGGAGGATTTGAAGGATTTGGGAGGAGAAATGGAGGATTTAGGAAGTGAAAAAGAAGAAGAAGAAGAAGAAGAAGAAGAAGAGAGATGGAGAGTTTCTTGCATGGTGATTTCTCACATGGTGTTCTTGGAATGAAAGGAAAGGAAAGGAAAATGGAGAATTTGGGGGTGAGAGAGAATTTGTATCAGTGGTGTGGAAGAGGGAAAGGGATAAGGGGATGAGTGAGATGGAATTTCTTGTATTATCTTGAAAATCCTTGGAGGGTTTTATGATGAAAAAAGGGACAATTGATTGGATAATGTGTATTTGACCCAATGGGCCTGGGTTTATTTGTTAGGCCCAATTGTGTTACCCGACAAGACCGAATAATTTTGGAGGTGGGTGATCTTAAACTTTTGATCTCATTTGCATCATGAATAAACCTTCATGGTCAAAATTTATTGAATTTTGAAGTTCTGCAATGAAACGGGGTTAAAAGTTTAAGACCATAAATTTTTAAGTTCATCGAGCGTAATTTTTTAATAAGATTTATATCAAAGAGAGAAGTAAATTGTACTCAATGACTTTCAGAATGAATAGTCTTGAATTTTTAATCTCATGATTTCTTCAAGGTTGCGGTGTTGGTCATAGGGCTAAATTTTGATAAACTCAAGTCTTATACACGAGATAAGCGGGATTTAAAGATCAAAATCACTAGCCTCTGAGGTCATTCTTGTAAAATCACTCTTAAGAAAAAGGATAGATTTATACAAGCAAGCTAGAATCAAAAGTTTAAGATTACTCATTTTAAAGATTATTCAGGTGTAATTTTCTAAACAAAATTTATATCTAAAATAGCATGAAACTACACTCAATAACCTCATAAATTGATGATTTTGAATTTCCTCCACCAACCCCAATCTCCGAGATAAACCTTCAAAATCAAAAATTAAAAATGTGATGAAAAATTTTAAGTTCAAAATCATATACCTCCCGAGCAAGTTACGATATATCAATAATACTTCATATTAT